AAAAAAAAACAAAAAAAACTCTGTAATTCAATCCTAGAAAAGGAAAATCAAAATTACAAACCTTGGGGTCAAAAAATAATTTAAAATAAAAATGAGAAATGGATAACCACTACAAATCCAAATTTTGTGTATGGGAAAATGGAAAAACAACAAAATATTACTTTTCTTCTAAAAACAGCTTGTTGGGTCAACTAAACCATAGGCCACTCCACTTGCATTGGTGCAAGATGATTGTGCCGTTTGATTGAGATAAGTAAGCTTTACATCATCCAATCTGATCCCTTCACATGGATTCTTGGGGCTACAGTCAAATTTCAAAGCCACTTGTGTTGCAGATGTTCCTTGGATATCCTTATATGTCACATTACTGATTTTCACCCCTGAAACCTGTAAAATTAAAACGTTGATTAGAAAGCTTTGAAACTTAAATGAATTTTTGGGCCTATATATAGGCCCAATGACAAGCGCCTAAGGGTTCCTTAGGCTAGCTGTTAGGTGATGGGGCAGTGATGTACCTGATCAGGGCAGTTTTCTCTTCGAGGGCAATAGTTCTGATCAATTATAATTGGGTTGTATACATTCTTCATGACGATGTTTGTAAAGAGGACATCTTTAACAAATCCACGGCTGTCCCTTCCCCATGACTTAATCCTGAGCCCATTTTGAGTACCATTGAAGATAGCAGTTTTAACTGTCACATTCTGAACGCCCTCTTCTTCGAGGTCCTTGGCAAGGCTCCCAATGCTGCAGCATACAAACCCATGCACACGTCAACCTCACTTGATCGAGTTCATTCATAATATACCAAGGTAATTAACAAGTATACACCAGCCCTTACTGATTAACAAAGCTAACCTGATACCATGTCCAGGCCCACATGCAACATGCTCGATCCACAAGTTTGTTGTACCAGGCCCAATCGATATACAGTCGTCGCCGGTCTTGATGCCGGAGCTCATGATGGTGATGCCCGTCGACAGTTGCACATGGATCCCGTCGGTGTTAGGGCTGTTTGCTGAGGCTGTGACCATCACTCCTTGGATGAAGACATTTTCACAGCCATTGATCACAATGTGGAACATCTGGCTGTTTACAGATGATAATCCATTGATGACAATGTTCTTTGAGTTCACAATGGTTAGAGTCTGCATGCATGGTTGATATAGACAAAATCATCTGGTCAGGCAGGTCAAGCTCTAGTTGCTTGCAAGTGAATAGTGGACATTGGGGACTGGAAATCGCAGTTTTCTTTTACCAAGGAACATAGTATTAAACAATGTATAAACAATGGAAAAAGTATATATATATATATATAT